TGTGTGTTGTTACATAATATATAAGATATTACTAATATTACCATCATTATTATTATTATTATCATTATTATTATTATTATTAACATTTTTATTTTTACTTTTCATTCTCCAGGTTGGAAGTTCCTCGGAAGGTGTGAGGTGACCCATACGAGGGTCTATGAGCAGAAAATACTAGAAATATATTTTGCTGGACTTTAGAAGCATCGGAGGAGGGAAGAAGGAAGATTCAGATCTACCATAGGAAGCCAAAGCCATGTTATACTGAAGCAGGGATGGATGGATGGATAAGAGTTAGGACATAAGAAGACAGATAGACATGAAACCAGATATGTGATAGGATAGATACTAGATAGATAGATAGATAGATAGATAGATAGATAGATAGATAGATAGATAGATAGATAGATAGATAGATAGATAGGAGAGAGAGAGAGAGGAAGATGGGATAGGAAAGAAAGAAAGAAAAAAAGAGAAAGAAAGAAATGGATAGATATGGAACAGGGAGAAAGAGAGAGAGAGATTAAACCTAAGATAGATAGAGACAGCACATAATAGATAGATAGATAGATAGATAGATAGATAGATAGATGGATGCCCCTCTCTGTATCTGTTATCTCTAGGGAAAGCTATACATTTTCCATGATATGGAGCTGAGATGAGCTCAGGCATGGCAGATACCATCCTGCTGAGTCACAGATGGTCCGGGCATGTTATCTGGTAGGCAGAGGTAGGGCACAGGGGGGTAAGCATACTTGTAATAGAGACTGTTAGAGGTCCTAACCGCTGAAATGACCTGACGTCTCTGATACCACAGGCTCCCAGTACATGGATTATGTGTGTTATGGTGATTTCCCTCATACAACAGATCACAGAGAAGGATGAGTACTCTATGTGTCCCTGCAGGTCTCCTCAGTTCTGTCTTTAGTCCCTTTCACCTGTCCTCCTTCTATAGACCTGACCTCCTTCTATAGACGTGTCCTCCTCCTATAGACCTGACCTCCTCCTATAGACCTGTCCTCCTCCTATAGACCTGACCTCCTTCTATAGACCTGACCTCCTTCTATAGACCTGACCTCCTTCTATTGACCTGCCCTCCTTCTATTGACCTGTCATCCTCCTATAGACCTGACCTCCTCCTATAGACCTGTCCTCCTTCTATAGACCTGACCTCCTTCTATAGACCTGACCTCCTTCTATAGACCTGACCTCCTCCTATAGACCTGTCCTCCTTCTATAGACCTGACCTCCTCCTATAGACCTGACCTCCTCCTATAGACCTGTCTTCCTTCTATAGACCTGACCTCCTTCTATAGACCTGACCTCCTCCTATAGAACTGTCCTCCTTCTATAGACCTGTCCTCCTTCTATAGACCTGACCTCCTCCTATAGACCTGTCCTCCTTCTATAGACTTTATCTCCTTCTATAGACTTGGTAGAAACTCAGGGTCAATTTTTTTTTGTATCTGGTTTTGGGAAAGATTGGATGAAACTAATGGAGTGTTTATGTTTGTAAAAATCTATATGAGGTGCTAAAATATAAATGATCTCTGTCATCTGCAATAGTATTTTGTTTTACATCTGTCATTCAGATTGGATGAAACTTTATCAGATTGTTAGAAATTGTCCTAATTGTATCTATGGATGGTTTTACACTCTCCTTATCCCGCTGCTCCTGATTTCTCTACCAGGCACTCTACCCTCCTTTACTTTCTGCTCTCCTCTGCTCTTTCCTCTCCACTCCTCTGCTCTCCTCTTTCCTCTCCTATCCACTCTCATCTCTCCACTCTCCTCGCTTTTGCCTCCCTCACCTCCTCTCCTCTGCTGTCTCCTTCTCCCTTCTTTGCCCTCACCTCTCAAATTTTGTCTCCTCATCCTTCACCCCTCTGTTGTTACTCTTTCTCCCCTCACTGCTGTTTACTATCCCCCTCTCTACTTCTCTCTCCTCTCCCCCCTACTCCTCTCTCCCCTTGGCTGTCTCCTCTCCCCCTCCACCCCCTTCCTCGGCTCTCATCTCTCCCCTCTCCATTCCAGTCCTCTGCTCTCTTCTCTCGCCTCTCCATTCCATTCCTCTGCTCTCCCCCCTCCTCACTTCTGCTCTCAACTACTCTCCTCTATTGTGCTCTGTCCTCTCCCTTCCCTGAACTTTTCCCTTCTTTCCTCTGCTCTCCTCGCTCCTGTGTTTTTCTTTCCTCTCTCCATAGCTTTCCCCTTCTTACCTCTCCACCCCTCTCCTCTGCTCTCTTCCCTTTCCTCTTCTCTGCTACCTTTTCCTCTGCATTCTCCTTTCCCCACCTCTGCTCTCTGCTCCCCTCTTCTCTCCTCTGCTGCCATTTCCTCTTTTCTATGCTCTCCTCTCCCCTCCTCTGCTCTCCTGTTCTCTGTTACCATCTCCTCAGCTATCATCTCTTCTCTCCTCTGCATTCTCTTTTCCCCTCCTCGCTCTCTGCTCCCCTCTCTCCTCTTCTCTCTTCTGCTACCATTTCCTCTTTTCTGTGCTGTCCTCTCCCCTCCGCTGCTCTCCTCTTCTCTGCTCCCCCTGTCCTCTGTTACCATCTCCTCTGCTATCTTCTTTACTCTCCTCTGCATTCCCCTCTCCCCTCCTCTGCTTTCAGCTCCCCTCTCCTCTGCACCCCCCCCCTCCTCACCTGTTACTATATCCTCTTATCTGTGCTCTTCTCTCCCCTCCTCTGCTCTCTTCTTTTCCTACTCCTCTTCTCTCCTCTGCTTCCATCTCCTCTCCTCTGCTCTCCCATCTCTCTTCTCTTCTACTCTCCTCTGATCCCATCTCCTCTTCTCTTCTCTGTCCTCTCCTCTTGTCTGCTTTGCTCTGTCCCGGGATAACCTTTCAGCCTTGCTTTGACTTATAGTTCTTGTCCAGCTGGAGGGACTTCCTGGACTTTTATGGATTTGGAGAACCCCCGGGCATGCTTCTGCTTCCACAGGGAATGCCGGACACTTTCTGTGTTTGCTGGATTCCTGTGTACATGCCAATGTGGGTTATTAATTGGGGAAAGTCAGTGACAAAGCAGAGAAAGGAGCTGAGAGATGGCCTGGGGTTCTGCAGGTGAATGAGGCAGCAGGTGTGAGCGCGACTTGCAGGGTGCGACTGCTGCGTGCTCTGCGGATGGCACGCCTCTGGAATGTCTCCGTGTTGCTTTAGCTACGAGTGACTATTATTACTCATCTAAGACACTTATATTATATATGTGTTAAATAAAACCTGCTGATCACAAGACAAGTGAGATCATCACCCCCCCTCCCCCCCATCTTCAATTACAGCATAATGTATATGTAAAGCCAATCGGAAGAGCCTCATAAATGCTGTAACATGACAAAGCCCAATTGGATTTTCAGTTTACAGCTGAACTCCACATAGATATAGAAGCAGTGGCGTCACAAGGGGGGTGCTGCCTGCCCCCGGGTGACACCATTATTCCGCCGGGTGAACGTCTCCTCATCACTCTGCTGGCATCCATCACCAAGATGGCCGCTGGCAGGTATCAAAAAGAGGACCGCGCATGCGCGATGACGTCACGGCGAGGGGGTGTCACCTGGTATCTGCTCCGAGTGACACCGGGCATCGGGACGCCCCTGTATAGAAGACACAAATGAATGCAGCTTCTTTGCCATTAATATATCATTAAAATCAATGTTTTGGTGTGTGAGAGGAAGAAGCAGCACAAGGAGCTGACAAAAAGTATGCTGATAGGAGCAGAAAGCAGAGTGACAGAGATGAGCTCTCCACTGTGCTGCTTCTCCTTTGACTGTGGTAGGTCTAGAACGACCTGGGCTCAGAGGAAGCGGGTTGAATGATGCAGCCATCAGACTGAGGACATCTAGTGGCAGAAAAAAGTACTGTGGGCAAAATCTATGGATTGAAGCTGAATTTTGCAGCAAACACTGAGGTTTGTTACTTCATCTTTTAATGGGCTATTAATTTGTATCAGATATTTACTAGGTGCAAAGCCTTACAATTCATTTTCTTTAGGAAGCGGCCACAGCCTGGGTAGAAAAGCCTGTTCCCTGCCAGCATGCTGCAGAGAAGGAGCCTTGCTCTCTGTGTGGAAGCAGCGGTCTCTCCGCAGAGGACCAAAATGCCCCCCCCTCCCACTGAGTTAGAGCCGGAGCTCACTAATTAGCAATGCTCATGCTCCCTGCTGATTGGAGAGATCGAGCTCTGGCTCAGCAAGGAGTGCATCAGACCTCTACAGAGATGGACTCTTGTTCTCTGTGTAGAAGCAGTGGTCTCTCCACAACAGCTGGAGGGCCGAGGTGGCCTAACCTTGGTCCATTGTGTTGCCGATGGTGCACCTTCAAGAGAGGGGGGTGGCTTGTGGTGCACATTCCAGGCTCGGGGTTTGGGGGATTCGGCTTGTGGTGCACGGCATCCCACCCAGCTCACTGGTTGCCAGGGGCTGCCTGGGATGTCAGCCAGAGCATCCCGCTCAGCTCCTGGCAACCAGTGACTTCAGTGAGCCAGGCAGGATGGTGGCCAGAGTGTCCCAGGAGCAGTGGCGTAACCAGAGTTATGGGCGCCCGGGGCAGAACATTTTTTTCGCCCCCATGGTTGTTACGCCACTGCCCAGGAGCTCTTAGTAAGCTGGGAAAGGGGGCCAGAGCATCCCCACGTGACCAAATGAGGTGCCACCGAAGGCATGACCCTGATGGTAGGTGATGAAGGAAGGGCGGGGGGGGTGTAGCTTTGTAGATCCAGGGAAGGTGCAGTAAGGTGGGAGAGGGTAGACATGCCAGCTCAGGTTAGAGTTATCCAGGTGCTGAGCATTCAGGTATTTGTCATCCCCGTCCCTCCCAGAATCCCGGTCCGCTCGGGGTCCATCTGTCCCTTATTTGGGAGAATTTTCGCCTTGGCAATTAGGAGCTGCATTGCTCATCCAATTAGGCTGCATCCACAAACAGGAAATGCCATAACCTTTCCCTTAGTCATCCCAGTGGATGAGCCTTGCGAGCTGACATCGCCGGCCCCGAGCACAGAGTCCACGCCATATAAGGGCTGCTCACCTATTTCTGTTCATTGCCGGGGTGTCGGCGTGCCAGGGAGCACATCCACGTCCGTCACGTTCAGCACAGGCGACCTGTGCTACCTGCGTGCAGGTGTGACAAAGCCGCATGACCTGCCTCCTCCTGAACAATGACGGCTTAGCCCATTCAGGCTCGGGGCTGTCACATTCTGCACGCCATTGACAAGGCACCTGCGCGATTTCCCAAGAGCGGATACGGTTTCAGGAAAGGTCCATCAGATGGCGTCACCCTCTGGACGCCACGGCGCTGCATTATGGATCCTTTGTTCCTGAATTAAAGCTGATGCTTATATATTGGCTTCTCTGGGTTCCTCATTTCCACGCTCATCAACATTCTAATGACAAATATTAATAAAACATTAAACACCTTATTTTGGTCCCAGTGATGTCATCGCAGGGTCTCTGTGCTTCTCTTTGCAATGCAGGCAGATCATGGCTGGTGGGAGGGGCCAGTAGAGTGACATCAATGAATACCTTATTTTAGTCCCAGTCAGTGGCGTCACAAGGGGGTGATGGGGGGTGCGGTCCGCACCCGGGTGACACCAATGCAGAGGTGACACCAAAATGACTGACAGTCAAGCCAGCCCGGTGGGTGTGGCCAGCACCCGGGTGATACCATTGCAGGGGTGACACCAAAATGACTGACAAGCCAGCCTGGCGGGTGTCGCCCGCACCCGGGTGACACAATTGCAGGGGTGACACCAAAATGACTGACAGTCCCTTTGGTGTCACCCCCTCTAAAACGTCGGGCTCTCGGTCCACGTTTTAGGTCCAGTGTCAGGAGAGAGGAGGGAACCCGGCGGCCAGCCTTATCCCACCGGGTGACTGTCCCCTCCTCTCTCTGCCGGCGTCCATCACCAAGATGGCCGGCGGCAGGTATCAGAGATCGGTCCACGTGTGAGGTCCATTGTCAGGAGAGAGGAGGGAACCCGGCGGCCAGGTTAACGTTCCCTCCTCTCTCTGCCTGCCTCAATTAGCAAGATGGCCGCCGGCAGGTGTCAATCAGATGGCCGCGCATGCACGATGACGACATGGCGGTGACACCCGGCCTCGGGATGCCCCTGGTCCCAGTGATGTCATCGCTTGGTCTCTGTGCTTCTTTATGCAATGCCAGCACATCATAGCTGGTGGGAGGGGCCAACAGAGTGATGTTAATAAATACCTTATTTTAGTCCCAGTGATGTCATCACTGTCTCTCTGTGCAACACAGGAAGATCATGGCTGCTGGGAGGGGCCGGCAGGGTGCTATACATAGCCTCAGCACTCCTCTCAAGACCCCTAGCCCTGATGCAAGCAGTGGGCCGGCTCTTGGGAGGAGTTATGCAAATATCAAAACGCCTTGAAGGGCGGGTGTCAGTCTGGAGGAGTGGGCGTTCCTAGACAGGCTGTATTTGCATGCGGACCACCCACATGTGATGCTGAGCCTCCATGATGGACAGAACTTAGAACCAATAAATGAAAGGGGCGGGGCCAGGGACAGTCAAGATGCAGAGACAAGAGCTAGAATAGGGGTAGGCAACCCTGCGGCTCCATTTGTTGTGAAACTACAAGTCCCATGATGCACTGCAAGAGTCTACCCACTGCCCAGGCACTCCCGGCACACCCTTTGCGCACGCCTATGGTCCAGGATAACCTGGGCTCAGAGGAAGTGGGATGAATGATGCTAGCCAGCAGACTGAGGACATCTAGTGGCAGAAAACAAGTACTGCGGGGTGAAATCTCTGGACTGAAGGTGAATATTGCTGCAAAAGCTGGTTTTATTTTATATTTTGATGGGCTGTTCATTGTTATCTCGTCATGTTTGGCTGCAGTTGTGCTTTTTTATTGGCTGGCTTGGCATAGAAATTCCATCTCACACATACAGCTTCCAAGCAGGGAAGTGGCAGAAATCAGTGAATCCAGTCAAGGGGCAGATATGAAGAATGGAACTGAACTCCGATATAAACATGACCGCCGCAATATAATCTAAGCACGCGGAGGGCAAGCTAGGTGAACCCGGAACCCGGTGAGGATCGTATGTGACTGCACTTCCCTTATCTATTGTCTATGGAGGGGAAAGGTGACTGTGATGTCATAGAGGGAAACAGAGAAGACAAATGATGATCCTTCAAAGCGATCTGTCAGTAAAGTTCACAAGTCTGAATCCAGTTTTTCTGACTCATGACTACCTACAGCAACCGTATCATCATACAGAAGAGCGCCACGTTTATTATTAAAGGAGAACTGTGAGGCGAGTGAAAATCACTGATCCTCCTAGTTCTAGCCGACGTGTGACAATGAAACCGTCACAGGTCGGCTCAATAGATCGGGAAGTGAGCGAACACATACCGGCGCTCGCTAACTTCTCGATCGTCTCCCTGCAGAGAGCTGTGACTGTCACTCACTGCTCCCTGCAGGGATTCCCCCCATCCCCCCTCCGATCCTCCAGCGCTGACTAGAGGAACAGACCGGGGAGGGGGCAGGCACAGCTGGCTCTGCCTCTAGATAGGCAGAGCCAGCTATCAATCACGCAGCTGGGCGGATCTCGGAATCGGTCCCCGCTGCGGCGTCTCAGTATACCGCGAGCTGTAGCTCCCTATATACTGAGCTTTGGGTGACGGGAGGACGCTAGTTTGTGTCCTCCCGTTACCCTTAGGAGAACTAAGGTGTAAAGCCCTGACCCCATAGTTCTTCTTTAAAACACCTTCCATGAACTCTAATCAGTCACTTTGCACAGGCCGAGATGATGTCATTTGTATGCTGTATGCAGGAGGAAGAATTTCCTCAGTCGGCTCCCCCCCAGTGATCAGTGTGCTGCAGGCAGGACCCCCCTCATCTGGGAAGCAATAGCTTCTTTGATATCTGCTGTTTTGTTTTGTTGTTTTTTTTGTATTTTGACAGCTGCTGCCATCAGAATAATTTTGTATTTTTTAAAAATGCATAGGAATGAATAATTAGATTGCTACTGGCTAATGCACCCGTCCTCTGCTGCTGTCAATCACTAGAAGAGGACCTGATGGAGAACTTCAGGTCCCCCCTCTGCTGATTGACAGCAGCAGGGGGCGGGTGCAATAGCTAGTCTGCTATTGGTTATTGCAAAGTGAAATAGCCAATAGCAATCTAGCTATTCATTCCTACGCATTTATTTTCTCTCTGACTGACAGCGGCCGGCGGCTCCGATGTCAGAAAAAACAAAAACAAAACAGATTGCAGGGAAAGGTTTACTCTGCTAGATCGAGCAGAGTAAACCTTTCCGGGAGAAAGTGTTTCTCTCCCGGGCAGCCGGGAGCCGCTATCTAATAGCGGGAGACTCCCGGAGCGGCCGGGAGAGTTGAGATGTCTGCTGATCTGTGTCAGACATTTGTAAGCACAGCCAAGACCCGCACAGTCACCAGGATTTGCATGACTGTGTCATCTCTGATCCGGCATCTCAGTCCAGGAGTTAGATGGTGACTCCGGATGATGCCCAAATGAAGAAGGCTCCATCCTTCTGGAGAGAGAGAGAAGAGAGGGAAGATGAAGCAGCGCAAGGAGCCAGTCAGGTGTGTCAGGACAAGGAGCTTAGAGATAGGAGGAGAGGCCAGGATGACAGAGAGATTAAACAGTGTATGTCTTTCCCTTTCATTGTACAGTAACCGGGTGGGGAGGAGCACTGAAAGTGAAAGTGATCATTCAGAGGAGAAAAACAGGGCTGTGACGTGGGGCTGAGCTGTGTAAATCTCAGGACTGGATAGACAGAAATACAAATCCTTTTGGCAGGTAGACATCTCTGATATATATGTATCTGTATGACATTACAATTCTTCTCTTGCATCAGTCCTAGGACACGCCCACCCATCTACGTGAATCACATACCAGCAGAACAAACGTGTGTTTTTATTTTGTTTGTATTTGTGATTAGTAGAGCGCTTCTTACTTCACAACAATAATAATAATAAGAGAGAGAGAGAAGGATAAGGAGGGGAAGAGGAAGAGAAGGAAAAATAGGAAATAAAAATGAAAAATAGGGGAGGGAAAGAAAAGGAGGAAAGGAAAGAACGGGAGGGAAAGAAGCAAAAGAGGAATGAAAATGAAAATAAGGGAAGGAACAAAAAAAGAAATGAAGAAAAAGAACGGAAGGGGGTAAAAAAGGAAAGATAAAGAAAGAAATTAATGAAAAGGAAGGAAAGAAAGGAAAGTAAGGGAAGAAAAATAAAGAAAGAGTGAATGAATAAAGGAAGGAAGGAAAGAAAGAAAAAGAAAGAGTGAATGAATAAAGGAAGGAAGGAAGGAAAGAAAAAGAAAGAGTGAATGAAGGAAAGGAACATAAGGGAAGAAAAAGAAAGAGTAAATGAATGAATGAAAGGAAAGTAAGGGAAGGAAAAGAAAGAAAGAAAGAGTGAATGAAGGAAAGGAAAGTAAGGGAAAGAAAAAAAGAGAGAAAGAATGAAGGAAAGTAAGGGAAGGAAAAGAAAGAAAGAAAGAGTGAATGAAGGAAAGGAAAGTAAGGGAAAGAAAAAAAGAGAGAAAGAATGAAGGAAAGTAAGGGAAGGAAAAGAAAGAAAGAAAGAGTGAATGAAGGAAAGGAAAGTAAGGGAAAGAAAAAAAGAGAGAAATAATGAAGGAAAGTAAGGGAAGGAAAAGAAAGAGTAAATGAAGGAAAGCAAAGTAAGGGAAGGAAAAGAAAGAGTTAGGAAAGGAAAGAAAGGGAAAGAAAAAAGCCCCCAAATACATGAAGAGAAGGGATGGAAAGAAAAAGGAAAAAGAAAGAAAAATGAAGGGAAAGGAAGGAAGGGATGACATTAAAAGAAGGGGAAAAGAAAGGAAGGAAAAGGAAAGATGTCTTACTACAGACTGCCTCCTTGAAATGTAACTAAACCACAAACATGAAGTTATTATATTTACTCTCCATGCCGGACGCCATCTGAAAAGTTTACACGGAGATGAAGTCACCTGATGACATAACGCAATGGGCGTGGCTGTGGGTCTGATCGGCCAGAATCGGATGTGATTGGCTGTTTGTACAGCACTTCCAGGATTTTGTCTTGTTTGGGGGTCACGTAGTTCTATGGGCAGCATTATAATGTGAATTATTTTATTTGATAAGATTCCAATAAACGCTCATCAATATTCTACCATTGGAAACACCCATTGCGCTTGTGTTTGTGTGTTATTGTATTATTAGTTATTATTCCTTTACTCCAGTGACATCGGGGGGATGTTCACCACCTTTGCAGGATACAATTTGGAAGCATCTTTTGACCTTCCCGTGTCTTGGGGGTCATTATGTTTTGGTGTAATGGCGGAGTCACATATCTGGATTCAACGCGGGCGCTCCTTTTTTTGGGGGGGACATATTTGAAGAGGGCTTTAACAATCATTCCCGTTCATGTTGTGCGTGTATTTGTGATTTGTTGAGGTTTTATTTGTCTTCATCTTTTTTGTATATGCACTTTATAGCTCTGCTCATCACAATGTGACAGGTCATTGTGTATAGCAAACAGAGATGAGTCACACAACGGTAACAATTTGTTCAGTTTAACACATTGCTAACCGACAGACATCTACTAAACTCTCATGACCCCCCCCTCACACACACACACACACATTTACCAGTCAACTGGGACAGCCAACCAGTAAGGACAAGCACAGTTTCAAGCGACGGCTTGCACCCGCTTTCATAGACAACGTAGCTGGAAGCGGGAGAGCTCCGGCTGGGTGGAGGAACACTTTAAAGAGTTGTGTCGTGTTGATACAAGAGTAGCAAATTTCGGTATGATCAGCCAGCGTCCTGATGCTATTCAGAGAGTTGTGATGGTGATGCCAAGGCCACAACTTATACAATAACACAGGTAGATATACCAGTATTGGGTGGTATCTACATAGAGTTGTTTTTTTGGAGTTTTACATTTCTTAGAAATCATTGCATAAGTAAGAATCTTGCTTGCCTGCCAGTTGGAAGATATGCAGAGTATTCATCACTAGTGAGGGTGGCCTATGAATCCGGGACTGTCATCCTGATCCTTGTCCCACTACCTACAGCATGGGCACAGCCTGGGAGCCCAAGGATCTGTGCAAGCAGCATGTGGTATCTGAAAAAGGAAGTGATGGAGGAAGGGGAATAAGGGATATAGAGCTGCAACAACTAATCGATTAATTCTCATTATCGATTAGTTTGGAGAGAGAGGGACAGATGGAGGGAGAGAGAGAGATGGAGGGGGAGAGAGCGAGAGGGAGGGAAAGAGAGATAGAGGGAAGGAAAGGGAGGGAGAGAGAGGGAGGGAGAGAGAGAGCGAGGGAGGAAGGGAGAGAGAGGGAGGAAGGGAGAGAGAGGGGAATAATCGGGCAACTAATCGATTATGAAAATAATCGTTAGCTGCTGCCCTAAAGGGATATAAAAGAGGATGCCAGTGTATAGATGGTGATTACTCAGGGACCTTAGACCGCTGCAGCGGAGGGGGAGAAAGGCTCCAGGAGTGGTCCAAAAGCAAGCCGACTTTGAGGATCAGATGAGTATAACTTTCTAAATCTTGGCCTTAAGCACCAAAATGAGCACTCAAACCTTGGGGTGATGAAATTTCTACCTGGAGTTCTGCTTTAATCCGACGATGTGCAGGAGCTCAGAGGCTCCTGTATAGATTTCCTCTATAGGTCCAGATAGTGTTATAAGGACAGTTACTGGGTGCAGATAGTGTTATAAGGACAGTTACTGGGTGCAGATAGTGTTATAAGGACAGTTACTGGGTGCAGATAGTGTTATAAGGACAGTTACTGGGTGCAGATAGTGTTATAAGGACAGTTACTGGGTCCAGATAGTGTTATAAGAACAGTTACCGGGTGCAGATAGTGTTATAAGGACAGTTACCGGGTGCAAATAGTGTTATAAGGACAGTTACTGGGGGCAGATAGTGTTATAAGGACAATTACCAGGTGCAGATAGTGTTATAAGGACAATTACCGGGTGCAGATAGTCTTATAAGGACAGTTACTGGGTACAGTGCCAGTCTAATCCAGTCAGGGAAGGACCCATCACATGAAGGTCCCTGCGGCAGCACATCGTCTTGGCGGCTCGTCTGACGTTGTCACAATGTAGCAAAGTAGAAGCTGCGAAGTTTGCGAGCCCCGCCCATCAGCCCTATTCCCCCCGCGCATGCTCAGTAAGGCAGACCGAGCCGCGCATGCGCAGTAGTCAGGGGGTCCCTGTGCGCCGCAAACATGGCCGAGCAGCTGCGGCCAAAATGCTGAGATTTCCCGTGGGAAGAGAGGATTGCGGGCGGCCATGGCGAGGCTGGCAGACTACTTCATAGTGGTGGGCTACGACCATGAGAAGACGGGTGAGTGCCAGCTGTATTCCGCACTGTACCCAGAAGGAGGGTGATGGGAAAGGAGGGGGGGGTCACTCCACATACAGATCCCCTCCTCTGTGGGACGCATATAGACTCGTCCCTCTGTGACCTGGGTGGAGGTGGAGGGGGGGCAGTACCATATTTGCGGGGGTAGGGGTGAGATGCTGCAGGGGTCCCTGTGCGGTCTCACGAGTGACGCAGGAGGGGCGTGGGGCCCTTGTTATGACTTGGACATGTATTATGTATGCAATACTGGGCAATGGGTACCGAGCATCCTGTCAGTCTGTGGAGGTTGCACTGAGCATCCTGTCAGTCTGTGGAGGTTGCACTGAGCATGCTGTCTGTTGGGGTTAGTTGTACTGAGCAACCCTGCAGGGTAAATTGTGCATTCTGTCAGTCCCCAGAACTTGCATTGTGTGTCTAGTCAGTCACTATTTTGTGCGTCCTGCAGGTCACCAGGGGTCACGGTGTGCATCCTGCAGGTCACCAGGGGTCACGGTGTGCATCCTGCAGGTCACCAGGGGTCACGGTGTGCATCCTGCAGGTCACCAGGGGTCACGGTGTGCATCCTGCAGGTCACCAGGGGTCACGGTGTGCATCCTGCAGGTCACCAGGGGTCACGGTGTGCATCCTGCAGGTCACCAGGGGTCACGGTGTGCATCCTGCAGGTCACCAGGGGTCACGGTGTGCATCCTGCAGGTCACCAGGGGTCACGGTGTGCATCCTGCAGGTCACCAGGGGTCACGGTGTGCATCCTGCAGGTCACCAGGGGTCACGGTGTGCATCCTGCAGGTCACCAGGGGTCACGGTGTGCATCCTGCAGGTCACCAGGGGTCACGGTGTGCATCCTGCAGGTCACCAGGGGTCACGGTGTGCATCCTGCAGGTCACCAGGGGTCACGGTGTGCATCCTGCAGGTCACCAGGGGTCACGGTGTGCATCCTGCAGGTCACCAGGGGTCACGGTGTGCATCCTGCAGGTCACCAGGGGTCACGGTGTGCATCCTGCAGGTCACCAGGGGTCACGGTGTGCATCCTGCAGGTCACCAGGGGTCACGGTGTGCATCCTGCAGGTCACCAGGGGTCACGGTGTGCATCCTGCAGGTCACCAGGGGTCACGGTGTGCATCCTGCAGGTCACCAGGGGTCACGGTGTGCATCCTGCAGGTCACCAGGGGTCACGGTGTGCATCCTGCAGGTCACCAGGGGTCACGGTGTGCATCCTGCAGGTCACCAGGGGTCACGGTGTGCATCCTGCAGGTCACCAGGGGTCACGGTGTGCATCCTGCAGGTCACCAGGGGTCACGGTGTGCATCCTGCAGGTCACCAGGGGTCACGGTGTGCATCCTGCAGGTCCCCAGGGGTCACGGTGTGCATCCTGCAGGTCCCCAGGGGTGAGGGTGTGCATCCTGCAGGTCCCCAGGGGTCACGGTGTGCATTGCGCAGGCCACTGAAGGTTATAGTGTTCATCCTGCAGGCCACTGAAGGACAATATGTGGACCATGCACATTCTGTCATTGATGGAAGTTGTACGGGTTCATCAGCATTTGAAGGCCCTAATTTGCATGGCATGGTGATATTTGCATCGTGCGTCCGGCGTGCACAGAGAGGTCGCAGCGCGCTCGCTTTCAGTGGCGTTGGATTACATTCACTGATCGCCCCTCGTGTCTTCCTGCTGTCGTGAATTGATGTGTTTCCATGTAGCTGGACGCGCCAGGCCCCGATGTATGCCCCGTGGCAAAGGAGTTGCCTTGGTGCTGCGCCCAGCCCTTCTCTGATGCCTGTGTAGCATTTTCATGTTAGGGTGTATTATCATGGGGTATTGGGTGTTTTGTGATTGGCTGCATGGTTTTTTTGGTCGGCATCCAATTGTAATTGCTTCTGTGCCTCTCCAAAAAGGCAAGCGGTTTAAAAGGGACCCCCAGCCAAATGTTTGGGTGCAATGCGGAAGGATTATAATTATGATTTTGTTGCTGTGTCCCCATTGTGGAGATCTCACAAGGGTGACACCAGAACAGGAAGTGAGGGGTTGCAGTTGGTAAGTTGAGTTAATGCCATGTAAAATTATTTTTTTTTTTTTGCCGTTACAAAATGTTCCCCTCGATATCTGATTCCAGAGACTCGGGTGGATTTCTATATTTCATGTACATGGCCCAGATGGCAGTCACTGGTTCAGGAAGTGATGGAAAATCTCCCCAGTGGGGGTACAGGCCGCCATAAAGACCTCGATATTGTTGTGAAAATGAGGAGCTCTGGATTGGTCAATGTATTCTATACCAGGCGTAGGCAACCTCGGCACTCCAGCTGTGGTGACACTACAAGTCCCATGAGGCATTGCAAGACTCTGACAGCCACAGGAATGACTCCCAGAGGCATGATGGGAGTTGCTGTTTTATCCCAGCTGGAGTGCCACGGTTGTCCATCCCCTGTTCTGTATGGTCAAGGTTTTCATATAGCTCAGGAATAGGCAACCACGACACTCCAGCTGGGATGAAACTACAAATCCTGCCATGCCTGTGGCTGTCAGTCTTGCAATGCCTCATGGGACTTGTAGTTCCACAACAGCTGGAGTGCCGAGGTTGCTAACTATTATATAGGTGTTTACTGGCAGCTCTGTTTATTTAAGCTTTTATACATAGCCCTTTTTATAGAGCAGGGGTAGCAAACCTCTGGCCCTCCAGCTGTGGCGGAACTACAAATCCCATGAGGCACTGCAAGATTCTCACAGCCACAGACATGACTCCCAGAAGAGAGATGCATCATGGGATTTGTAGTTTCACCACAGCTGGAGGGCCGGAGGTTTGCTACCACTGCCTTAGAGAAACATCTGAACGAGGTAGAGAACGGGCGGCTGCTGCAGACTGCTCTGCCCCTTGTGATCTTGTACTGTACAGGACGTTCAGGGAAGCTGAGCTGCGAGAGTTGGAGCCGTTTGGAAACATGATGATTGAAAGTGTTTGGGTAAAAATATAAAGAAATACTTTGCTGGGCGATTTTTATATTTGTTTGATCCGGATTCATTATTGTAAGTTTCAGAGTTCAATACGACTTTTATTTGGCTTCTTTTCGGCCTCGGTGTGGCCCCGCGTGTCCCCGTTCGTGCCCGAGTTTTACAGCACACATGATAATTGAATGCCGGTCATGTTTTTAGAACGCGTCGGTAGCTCTGGCCCAGAAAACGCGGCCACCGGATTTCATTTGTATAAAGTGCTCGTTCTAATATTTGGCCCCGCACGTTGTTGACATCCTCTCCCATCCCTGGGAAAGTCACATTCAGGATTTATGATGTTAGGCGCGGAGCATTCTAATCCCGAAAAGGTTACATCAGAAATATGATCGCTATGAACCAATGTGTCGCTTTTCTTATTTGTGTTCCCTCGGTTACTGTGTTGCTTTTACTTGGAATTACAATTCCCAGATAACCTCAGAGAACCAAAAACTGCTGTGATACATGTAACGTGTGTGTAGAATCGGATTGCATCATATATGTTCTTTTTATTTTGACCTTCTTTCCACTTTAAAGTGACACTAAACTCCAGAGTTAGATCTTAAAAATACATTCAAGAACCTGAACAACAATGTATCTTATTTGTGTATCACTCGGCTGTAGATCTTCCAATCATCTCTGAATTGGTGCCGACACCGTCCTTCCTTCTGGAGGGGGGCTACGTCTGTTCCAAATGGTCCCTGTGTGTGCTGTAAAGTAGTCACCGCTCCAAGCTCGCTCCCGGCATGGACTACAATCTCATGTTTAGTGACGCTTTAAAGGAGAACTATGGGGTTAGGGCTTTTCCCCATAGTTCTCCTTAGGGTAGCGGGAGGATACAAACTAGCGTCCTCCCGTCACCCTAGGCTCAGTATATAGGGAGCTGTAGCTCGCGGTATACTGAGACGCCGCAACCCGGTGCAGACCTCCACGATCGTGCGGCCCCATTGACATCCGCGCGTACATGTAACTTTTTTATTGAGATACAGGACGCGCAGCTGTTTTAGCAATGATCATGTTCGGAAGCACGGGCGGAATCATGGCGGGAAACCCTGCGAACCACCTGGCGCGCCATTAGAAACCCTGTGCGCGATCGGTTCACACCTTGGCGACTCCTGACCGCACCGCATTGCGCATGATTCCCGCATGGTGAGGTGTCGCCTAGGTGTGCACCGGCACTTAGTGTTCTGAAACATCCGTTTTTTTTCAACTTTTGTGTCTTGCTGATAGAAGTTGCTCTAGATACAGGTTCAACTTATCCGTCAAAGTTCATCTCTTTGGCCGGCTGTTGCGAGTTTCTTTTTTTTGTTAAGGCCAAGTTCACACCTGGACAAAACCTGAACGCGCGGCAATTGTGCACAAAACCGCGCGGCTTGTCGAGCAGTCATGGAGACGGCCACCACAGCCAACAGCACTGTGGGTGCCATTATTTTCCAATGGCACCCCAGTCACACGGGGCAGATCACGCGGTTTCCTGCTGCGATTCCGCCAGTGCAATTGAACACTAAGAAAGCCATGCGTTGTGTGTCGCAAAAATAGTACTTGTACCTTTTGTTTCCCCAGTCATCTTCCAGGACAGCCATCGAGATATAGGCTCCGCCTGCCTGCAACAGGAAACACATCAGCGATCGCCACGCAGATGTAACACCATTAAAATCAAATGGTGGCAACCGCTGTGTGCACGAACACACGATTGCGCGGCCCCAGGACGCACGTGCCGTGTGTTGCATAGGTCTGAACCTATCCTAAAGTGGCCATACTCTGTGCAAATATTGTCCAGTTCTTCAGGAACCGGCCGAAATGAGCGCAGTGGGTGCCTCTGTCGGCACCCTTTCGGCTGGTATCCCTCGATCAGCTGACCAAAGGAGCCGGAATACAAAAGAAACAACTTAGCAGGAAGCAAGAGAACTGCATCTGGGTTTAGGAAGACTTCAAGGCGTCATGTTGTGGTGATGGTAGCATGGTATGATCAGGTGACCTGTGTGGTGACGGTAGCATGGTATGA